AACAAAGACCGCATCACACCCTATCCAACCAATTACTGCCCACATTTTCCTGCCCAGCACTTCCTGCCAGACCAGTTTATGTGAATTAAAAGAGTGAAGGGTAAGCTAACAAAACAAGAGGTGGACTGTCAGCTGATTAGTGCTAATTACAAGGTGCGAGAAATGGAAAACACGAACGGTAAGTTGAAGGTACAAGTTGGTTAGGAAAAGGGGAATTTTTGGTACTGCCACCCAAGAGCATCTAACTGACGCTCGAAATCCTCAACCGTAAACTCCCTAACGACGTGCTCCGGAAGCAAGTTTCAACGTTCAATTACCCGGCGTGACAAGCGAGTTTCCGTCCTTACCCGGTCATAACGCAGTTTGTGCAGCTTCAACGGGTGACCTTGGAGTCTTAGACAGCTTGGCGGGACAAATAGCCAGGACAGGTCTGGACCCATCTTACCCGTTAAGATACGGTAAGTGAGGATTAAGTCTCCTCTAACTCTCAAGTAGTGCATTGAGTACATACCCCATCTAAGCAAATGTTCAGGATACGTTTGCTCCCGTAATCTCTTCACTAACATTGTACCCAAACCATCTCTGGTTCCATGTTGTCTCTTACCAGGTATGGTGGACAAGCCTGGATAAAGTATTCTAAGTGAGATCGCACAACAGCTGAGAACCGTTGCACAACAATATCGGCCGTTAGGATACCGAAGGAGCGGGGAATAAACCTCAACATACGGAACACACTACAAGCAGCCTTCCTCCAATTGTCCCCAGCGTGAAGCATTGTGGTGTGTCCGATACCTAGATCTTGGTGCTGTGTGATAACAGGGATTTCACTTCCACCAAGTACATAGCGCGTGCGGGGACTAGCACCTTCAATGCGGAGGGCAGAACATTTCGCCTGGTTTATAGGCATCAATCATAAGGTTAACAAATCCCGCAGCCTATCGAAGGCACTCTGAGTTGCCTCAGACTCCCAGGGATATCCACAATATCCCAGAGCTTGAGGTCGTTAGCAAACAATAGCAATGGTACTTCAACTCCTGGGGTAAGTCATTGACATAAATTGAGAAAAGCAATGGCCCTGCTGAAGGCCACTAAGAACAGCTTGTCTGAGCGAAAGGCTCCGCTCCACTCGTATACACTGTTCTCTCCCCTTTAAGAAAGCAGACAGCCATTTAAGGATGCATCCAGATATCCCACACGATCTCGGCTCTAATGAGAGACTTTGATGTGGGACAATATCAAAAGTTTTCGAAAAGTCAGCGAAAAGCACCTGGATAATGTGACCGTTGTTTATTGCCTCAGCCCAGCTTTCACAGGCTACAAGTAAATTTTTCAGACACGAAAATCCCTTGCGGCGTCCGTGCTGTGCCGCACTGAAAAGGTTAAACTTAATCAGGTGATTCTCCACTAAATCCATGACCAGTTTTATAAACACCTTAACTACTACGCTTGTTAGGCTGACAGGCTGGTAGTTCACGGATAGAACTCTGTCACAGTCCTTAAAAATCGGACAGATGATTGCCTCCTTATATTCCGGAGGTAAGGAACAGCTGTCGAGCGATATTGTAAACATGCATGTCCGAGGGCCACTTAGCTCAGCGGCCAATTCATGCATCAGCTTTGTATGAATTGAATCAGGGCCGGAAGCTTTGGAAGCATTTAGCCTTTGCAATAGCCCAGAGACTTGTGTCTCCGTTATGCTGGCTTCAGTTAGGCAAGAATCCTCCGGGACTTTTGTGACCAGCTCAACCTGAGGTAGAGAGGTCTCATGAGAAAAGAGACCAGTATACTGTTCGCCAAGTATACAAGCCTTATCATAGTCGGTATTCACACGGGTGCCGTCCGATCGCAGTAAAGCTGGTATAGACAAGTTTGACCCGCTGCGCCTCTTTATGTAAGCAAAGAAGAGCTTTGGATTTGTTGCAGCTGCGTCAGCCAAATCATTCTCGTACTGAAGACGAGCACTCTTAAGATGTTGCTTAAATTTATTTCCAGTCACTTGATAGCTTTCGTAGGTGCTGGTTGATGAAGCCGCTTGGTAAGTTCGCCGGCAGTTAGAGCGCTTTCTGAGCAGGTATTTACCTAAATGATCTATCCATGGGGGCTGCGCCTGTGTCATCCGTCTCTTTATGTGTGGGATGTGGGGAGCAGAGATCTCGGTGCAGTATGCCTTAAATTCCTCCCAGGCTGTGTCAATGGTGTCAGCCACGGTAATCGCGGAACGCAGAACTGAAACTTTGTCTCGCATTGCGTTAAAGTCTGCCTGCCAAATATTTGGACATGTCTCGGCGGTAGCTTGATGACACTTAGATAGAGCACATCAACAGGGTATGCAGAGATAGTCACTGGGTTCTAGAGGACAGCCGTATGTAATATCATTTACGAAATCGTGTGACTTCACAAAAATGTGATCCGAGGTAGACGGAAGTTGGTTACCCGTGTATCTAGGCGGGAGGTCCACGAACTAGTGCAAAGGCAGTTGCAACGTTAGCTCGGGGAGATCGGAACCGAAACTGCCCACCGCTAAACTGCGAGCTAGATCAGCCCAGCAGACTTCAGGGAGGTTGAAATCACCTATTAGACACCTATCAGCTCCCTGGAGATACTTCCAAGACTTCGGTATACCACTACAACTGTAAACTGAGCAGAGTAAGTGCACACAATAGTCTACAGGGCTTCAACCTTTTGATTTGGCGACTAGAAAACACAGGTCCTCAACACATCAAGTTTACAAATCACATAAAGTGCGACACTTCCACCTTGGCGGCCAGCAGAGCGATCACGTCTAATCATAGAGTAGCCAGGTAAACGTACTGCACCGTCTGTGATATCCGGGGACAAAAACGTTGCAGTGAAAGCAAGTACGTCGGGACAAGATTTGTCTACATGTAGACCCACATCGTGTACCTTGTTCTTTATGCTACGCACATTGCTAAGCACTACCCGAAAGAAGTAGACACGACCAGCTCTGGGTCGTGCGCCACCAGGAGGGGTTCTGGTAGGGTAGAATTTGATTTCTGGCTGACCACCTGAAAACCCACAAGGCAAAGGCATTGCTCACTAGCCGCTCGCCTGCTCTTGAGACTTTTGATGGCTTCCTTTAACTTCAGTCGATCTGCCATTAAGAGGTCCGGCTGATCACTGACATTGCTACCCTTGAGTATGAATGCAAAGTGCAATAACGCTTTGCGTTCTCTGGGGTTGAGAGGACTACACGAAGTAGTAGGGGTCGCGGATTTGGCACATCGACAGGGACGTTTCAGTTTGGTTAGCTTCCTGATAGTGACACCGGGGAAACCAGGTAGACTCATCTTGTAGCCGCAGAGCTTAAACCACTGGAGGTCATCCAGCATGTGTTCCCTGGGAACAGATGCCGCGGATTCAGCAACGTTACGGAAGTAACGCTGCTATCAGCAAAAGAATCACCTCGACGAGACGTATTTACTCCATGAGTCTTCGACTCGTCCCCAGCTTCGATCGGTTTGATGGATGACACGGCGCGTTTCTTCGCCAATGGATTTGAGGTGATTGGAGTTGGAGCTTTGTGCTCTTCCTCTAATACCTTTATGGGTTCAGTACCGTCGGGGTTTGAGGGGAAACTTACGGACTTTCTTAGCACTCTTTCTCTTGCTTTTATTGGACACAAGAGAAAGAAGATCGGTCTTTCTTTGTACGACATCCAGTACAACGTCAGAGGTCTCGTTCGGAGCATGCTGGGTAGCTGGGGCATACGACATGGTAATCATCACAGTCGGATCCTCATCGACAGCAGGTGAGGTTAGCTGCGTGGCTTCCTCCAATGAGCCGATATCAAGTGAGACTCCTATTTTCCTCATCAGTAACTTCACCTTACAATTAAGTGAGCGGAGGAAAGACTACATCTGCTGGTTACCTAGCCTGACGTTGCTCGATGTCTCCAATAGACGCGCAAATCAACGGCTGCGACATAGAAGACAACTGAACAGCAAGCTATCGCTAGTCGAGAGTATTGCGTACTGATCAGGGCTCAAATCGGTACAGGTCTCATGGTACCGTTGATTCCTTGGTTCTCAACCTGGGGGTAATTACCCTCAAGATAGCATTTATGGGGGTAAATATAAGTACAAGGATTGTGTCATCAATCTGTCGCTGAACAAACATTACAACAAATTCATCTGTATCGATACATTGAACTAACTACATAATCACTCTTAAGTAGTCATCAGTGACTAATGGTTAGGAAGTGTTCAGCGAATTAGACAATTTTCAGTAATACGCTTTATTGCCTAATCTGCGAATGTAAGCCTGACAGGCAGCGCGGCTACATGCCGCCCCTATCAGCTCGCTCGTCTGTCGTTGTTCTTTTGACTCAGACAGTCGTCCGCCGAGTCGAAATACAGTGTTGAGTGATCATTAAAGTGGGAACATAGGTCAGCTGACCAGCTACTGGAGGCATCTAACATTTACAAGGTCGAAAGGACAAAACAGGCGAGTGGTGTACACAATGTATCGATACAGATTGGTGGTGGGATTCTGTCAATCAGGACTGACATAGAAGGGATGTTTGAAACAAATGTGACGGCACTGACATCTGTTCATGTCACACACCAAAGCAAAAAAGCGAATGAAGTAGGAGCGCAACGTAGCATTTTGCAGTAGTCAAAGCCACACTAAATATGACGTACGTTGTTGGAACTAAGCATTATCTGCCGTCTAATTAACTTACGTCACCCTTTGATTTAATAGAACGTTGCTCAAAAATAGGTATTTACTTTTTTGGATAATAAAATATAATCAAAAATAGTACCATTTTTCTGTAAGTCGAAGCCAAAAATTCAATAGTAAACTAGCTTCTTGAACCATAATTTATTTATGTGTGTGTGTGGGAGGGGGCGTAATTGTTTATAGTGAAACCGTTTTGGGGGTAACAACCTCACTAAGGTTAAAGAATCACAGCTCTGTATGGACACTTCTAGCTAAGCCATTTGTTAGCCAACACATCCCTCTCTCCGTTGTATTTGTAGTTTCTTAGTTCCTTTCTCCGGAATCGGGTTGATCGTTTGGTGGGCCTACGATCTCATCAGCGCTAGCGAACACTGGTATCACCTTACCCTGAGTTCCGTGACAACCACCCTGCTGGAGGTGAGTGCCACACCGTGATCTTTGGTCCCCTTAGTCGTACGTGTGGTGACCGGTATCTAACCCTGTTTTTCATCATCTTGTGTCCTTTCAGTGGTTCATTCTCTTTGTGATTCTGGTCACCTCAAATGCGATTGCATTATATCGACGGAAAGAGCTATTTCCCAAGAGCAAATTCATCGGGTATAACCCTCATAACCCAGATTATCTACCTGCGGAGGAGTTCAAAACCACCAACGTGAACTACATCGTTGTCTCCAGTATAAGTTTACCTGTGAGCGAACTGCGTCAGACCACTTTACCCGATGATGCTTAGCAACTTGTTTGTGACCTGACGGAGTTTACACTTTAGCACAGTATCACGCTGTGCACATCCAGATTGTGTTTCCTTCCTTTGCTGTGGATATCAGTCAGTACTTTCTTGACGCCGATTGGCGTCTGGCGGTGCTTTCAGTTTTGTATTGAAATCAACCACCCAGATAGATGTATTAAATCCTTTTTTATTATTTTACATGGTATGCTCTTTCTGCTATGATTCATCGGGATCGGGCTGTGAAATTGTGTCGCGTAATCTCTAGGCTGACCGCGATTCACACTGAATTGAGCTTTGGTCAGTGCAATCACTGGGACCCTAACTCACGAAGCAGTTTGATATTGGGCGTTGTCCGTCTCAAAAGCAATGTGCTCCACAACCGCTTTCTAACCAATTTGATCTCTCAAGTAGAGGTAGAAGACACTCGAACCCTAATGTCCTTTGGGGTGCTAACCGAAATCTATACCTCCAAGCCACGCTGTCGCGGGTGATGGAGTCATGTCACAACGATCATTGGCTGATTGAAGAGGCCATTCATCATCATCATCAATACACGTTAGCTGAGCATGCGAAGTCATTAAGATGCACTACTTGTGTGAACGGATTGCGACGCGCAATCTCAATCCGGAACACGATTCAATTTAAAGTGAATCTTAGTCAATTTGATCTCTACAGCCGGATGGCTTCCCAATTTCAGGAGATTGAATCGCAGTGCCACCGTCTCTCTCCAGTTACGTGCGCGCGACTTATTAAGGAGCAACAACCGACAAAGAAACGACCTCCAGTATCTCACTAAAGCACAACCTGGCTCAGTAGAGCGGAAATTACAGCTATCGACATCAAACCGAGCACAGTGTCACATAATGCAATGACTCGATTGTATCTCGGGTGACACAATGGCAAGAAAAACCTGGATAAGTGGATACACTTGCTGACATGGCTAGGAGCCGACCTCAGTGGCGTTCGTGCTGTGAGTTTGTCCCACCCCATCCCTCTTAGCCTCCACCTCCAATCACGATCTTACTATTTAGCCTTATATAATTTCGCATAGTACTTTATTTTGTTGCATAGTAGCCAGCTGGTAGCTTACAGGAACGATGCGCATCTGTTACCGGTTGCTCAGCTGACTTGCACCTGTTGCATTTTTTCTCCTTTTTCTATGTATTGCGGCACAGTAGCTGAAGTGTTTCCTATCCGGGGAAAGGTAAAAACATAAAGGAAAACCATTATTTTAGCAATTAATCTATTATATTCGATCATGCATTGATTTCGAAGATCCCGGAACCTTCCATTCCTTCACGTGCTTGCCAGCATACGGCGTTTTGGCAGGGGGGATACTAATTTTACCAGTTGACCTTCCTTTTCTATAAGCCGAAGGTCATTGAGCCCCCTATATATTTGGCGTATATCTGGCGCAGTTGTACAACGTTTTGGCGACATTTTGGCTACGTTGACAGCGTTTTCGTTAACACGTTTTTCGTGATCAAGCCCGTTGGAATTTTGATCTTTCTTCTGCTGGGCTAGAATTTTTGTGGAGCAATTTTTGTGTGCTTAATTCCAAATAGCGAGAAAATGTGAAGATCTAACGTGTAATGATGATAACAATGGATAAGGTAACTACTGATACCAATAAATGAATAATTTTCAAATTTACGCAGCGCATGAAAACACAACTAGTGCTTTAACGTAACCCCTCTAACTGATCATTGGCAGTTGTAAAAAGCGTTACCCACCTCGGCTTGGTGTCATAAGTGTACAGGCTTCGGCTGACGTCAGAGGATTCCTGTCATAGTCTTGCCTTCTGTTCCATTAGTGTTCAGATCACATTTTGCTTTGCGGCACCATGTTTTCCGGCCTCATAAATGCATATTTGTACAGCTTATTTCGCTTCCATTGTGCCTGCCATCGTATAGTTCACACAGACTCATACATATTGCAACCATTTAATCAATTGATTTGTTTCTTCTAGCAAGGCAAGGACAAAATTGTCCAACCTGCAAACGTAGGGAACTATTGCGTCAACTGACTTCCACTGCCAAAATTCGTCCACTGTTGTTAGCTCACAATACACCCTCGCCTGTGCCTTCTGCGGCATGTGGCTGTACGGTGGCTGAGAGCCTTTCAATTAGGTGCAAGTATCACAGTCCAATTCCAGCGGCGAGTTCTTCCATCGCTCAAATATCAGACTACTGCGAACAGTGCTAATATCTACGAAATTCTTCATTTAGATCGTGCATCACAACACGGTCGATCGATTGGCTGCTTCGGACCTATCCGATGAAGGCGCACTTACATTCAATCCCGCACACCATACTGATTTCTCCAATACAGAGTAAGTTCATTGGAGGTAAACTGACCAGCTTGAAAGAGTCAGCCAGGAGGAAACCTTTGTGATCTCTTTGTTAGAGGTAAAACGGCGCGAAGCAACGACACCTTAGGCCTGCGAACAGGTAGCTAATTCAGTGAAGTCTCGCCAAGGTTGATGCTCGCACTAAACACCCAGTCATACGCGTTGAGCCGTTTCAGTTGAGCGCATTTTTCGAGGTTCAAACTACTAAGTGGCCGGGGACATCAAGCCTGGCCGAGTCTACGTGTCGGCCAGGACGGCAACACGGAAGATATCATACGTACTTGGCATACTGGGGCGAAAGTTTAACACCAAAATCTCAATGTGATGGCCTGTTTTTGACTTTAAATATAATGGTGACTGATTCTAATAAATTCTCTCTGGTCAGCAAAGTTCTGTCTCTTCTGATGCTCTCGGCCTAAGTTGGAAGTGGCACCAGGCAGTGAGCAGAGAGAAGTCAGCGTAACTCCATTAAGCGTTTAGGACACCCTTGAAAGTACCTACTACCTAGAAAGAACTTGTTAACTGGTGCGTACAAGATTGACAATAAAACCCAACACCGGTACTCCAGAGTTCGGCCCTTATCCTGTCCACTCTCTGGACTAACTTTGGACCGCAGGATGTGCATGATAGCTATCAGTTTCACTGATGAGCTCGTTCAAATCACCAAGCTCAACCGATATACCCTATTGTCTCAAGGCCACGTGGACAAATCAGAGGGATGAACAATGAGGCAGATACTTTTGGTGAGCTGTGTAGACAGCCTCTGAGAAGTTTGTTAACCTTCTTGCATATGACTTATGATAACGCGTAGCTGTACCATGTATGTGACAGTTCAGATCCACATAAAAAGCAAACTTATCTATGCAAATGTTGCGTCTTTGAAGGGATGCAGCCGAAACGTTTTCACATAAATCTCCGTTCGCTGTGTACATTTTCATTCTCAAAAAATCTTCAGACACGTTCGGTAGATCCACTCCGATGTATAGCAGGCGCATTAGGAATTTCAAGCAAATGAACGGTAAAGACAGAAGAAACGTTAAGTGAATGAAGTAACGGTAATGCAAGAAATGATTGAAACTTCATTAAAACTTGAAATTGACACATATTAACACAAATTCCAAAAGTTTTAACATAACTTTGACTAAAGAGGAGGGAATGGGAATTTATTTCTCAAGTGGCTATTTACGGACGCAAGATTTTAAGCTAGAGTAGGTGTGTAGATTTAGAAGGTGCGCGGTTGACTATCTAACCCACCCCAACAAGCAATTAAATTCTGGAGGTAGCAGGCATCGAACCCGGGACAAAAGTCATGTCAGTTGGGATCTCTAACCCTCTGGCCCCCAGGTCACAACGGGCAACGCTTGTCACAGCGGCTAATGACACACCAGGGGTCATTTGCAAAATAAGAACACAGGCATGCTACAAATGTTAAGATGCCGATATCAACAATTGACAGTCTAGGTTTGCCCTCATCTAAAAGTTTACTTTAACGGTTATTCTCCAAATTCACCATAAGAGTCGTCACAATAACTTCCTCCATATTAATTTGGCTGATAAACATCATGTTTACTGTCCGGTGCCAACTTGGATGTGTAAAATTCTTATTTTAGTACAGGGGGCCATACTAAGCGCTAACATTAAGGCCCCCTGTTCCAACACTGCAATACCCAGCATCTGACACGCACTAAGCAACCAGAGTTATTTTATCAAGCCATGCTTGTTCAAATGTGACACATTTGCGTTGGCAATTCTCCGACAGTGGTAGCAGGAGTCTTTGTTATAGCAGCGGGGTGACAGTACGTATATTTTAATAGGCAATATCCTGACACTTCAGAGGAAAGTTCTCGCCTTAACCCACGGGACTATAGCAACATCAGCCTGGTCGTGTGAACAGCATGTTAATCGCATGTGAGTATTGATCCTAGCAAATGTTGCTGCCACCTAATCGATCGGCCTTGACCTCAGTTTGCCACTCTCTTCTGCCGAACTGTTTAAGGTCATTCAACATACCATATCTGCCACGCTTGCGCTGCACCCGACCAGCGTTTTTTCAGCTTCAGGCGCTCTACAGAGAATGCCGTTAATGAACTAGTGATGAAACCGCGTGATGACGATTAGTTACAAATGTACCTCTACGTGAGACGGTCGATAAATTATACGAGTTTTCAAAGTCTATGTTTCAGTTGTGCACCGAAAACATACCGTTTGATATCGTTGGGACTGCATACAAACAAGTTAACAGGATCGCTATGGGCAGTTCTCTGGGACAACTTTTAGTCGACCTCTTCCTCTGCTTGACAGAAAGGCAAGGTGCTGTCAATATCAGTGTAGCGAAGGTGTAAAGTAGCGGCAACCACTTAACGCAACTGTTGATCGTACTGAATGCGATTCACCACGACCTACGGTATTCTATGAGGTGGAACAAGCCAGTTGCTTGCGGTTTTTGAATATGCTGATAAAGCGACGGACTGAAGGGGAATTGCAGTGCACCGTTCACTTCAACTCGAGGTGGAGTGTACAGTATCTTCGCTTTTCAGCTTCGGCCCGGTCGCATACAAAAGCGCCTTAGTGCAATCACTTTCCTACCTAGCCAAACCTATCTGTATCTCTGAAATAATAGAAGTAGAATAATTTCTACGCAAGATCTTACTTTCTGATGAGTATTATGAGAAATTCATTCAGATATACAGTGGGCCTCCAAGCAAGAAAATACGGCTGCCAATGGCAGAGAAATTGGGTGCGTTTATGTTCTTGTCTTTCAAAGTGACCATGTGGCAAGTAATATCGGACGCATAGTCCGGTCCGCCCTAACGTGCACCCACATGATCGCCGAGTTGCGACTCATGA